TCAGCAAATAAAGGAAAGAAATATATTTGGTAATCGCTTGGGTACTAAAAAATGCCCCTATTGCTCCTCCACGTTGACAAAAAAATGTAAAAAGTTACTTCGATGAAAGGTCGGTGAAAAAACTATGATTACTTCCTAACATGGCAGCTGAACACATCGGAGAACATTAGAAACAGAATTTGTTTTACCGCATGAAATAGAATTATCATGTACAAAAGTTGAAGACAGTCTTTCTTAAACCACTATTTTCCCCTCAATTTTGCTGTGGTCTGTTAGCCAGGAGTAGGTTGATATCATAAGCAGTTCTAAATTCTTTTTCAGTTAAAAAAGTCTCCGTTCTCAAACTTTAACTTAAGTCAATTTTAAATGATTGCAAATAAAATATTGAATTGAACGAAGGTTTTTTCCTTCTCATGAAACGTATTTTCCTATAACTGCGATGACCTCTCAAGTCTTTGAGGTGGCTTACTACAGTCTTGATGGAGTTTAAGGGCACAACTTTTAACTATTTTAAAACATGTTCCAAGTTGTTTTTCTTTTCTCTTTTTACTGTTTGCTTAAGTTATTTACCGTTATATGTGACATTTGAACAATTTAAACCTAAATAAAAAGGCCACAATGAACGACCGAGTACCTAAGGAGAGACTGGGCACTAGTAGGTTTAATAACGTTTTTCTCAAAATCTACTTGTTTGACGCCACCTCAAAATTTCAGGAATTAGAGATTCGTTGTAATTAAACATTGATGAGAAGTATAATAAAAATCTGTGAGACAGATTTTTCGCAAACTAAGAAAATGTGATCTTTTGCCTGTTTCTAAAATGTCTCACAGATTTTTTTTTAACATTTTGCCTTTTAATGCGACTCACCTCTACAAATCAACTGTGAAAATTTCATTATAGGTCATATGATAGGTTCTCGAGTAATCTTGGATAAAAGACTGGTTTTACGATCTTGTATGAAAATTCTGCCGCGTATGCCTTTTATTTAAGCGTGCGCTCATGTGACGCCACGTATCGCGCGCGAAAAAGCAAGGTGAATTAGAACTCTTTTACCGGTATTTATCTTTCTTTTTTGCCGTGGTTTATCGGTCCTGGGCTTAAACACGTGTATGAAAGCAGTTTGAAGTTATCGCTATGAATACCAAAGTGGTTTAACGCGTTTCAAATGCTAAATTTGTTTTCGTTTCTTCTTAGGGTTACTTGCGTCATTTCTGCACGCGCGAGTAATACTGAACTCTGCCATGCAATTGTGACGCGCGTTACTGAGTCTCGGATAAACTGTAGTAAGCCACCTTAACTGTCCCTTTTGTAATGAGCTTTTGCTATTGTTTTGTGGTGATTACCTTCAAGTCAACTTTTGAACAAGCTGATTTCTTGTCATTTCCTGTCGTTTTCATATATCGCTATAGTGTTATAGGCTCAAGACCATGCAGCTGTGGTTTTCACATCATGTCAAGAGAAACAAATGAGTACTTAAATTTCTTTTGTGCAAGTGCCTTCTTTTTTTTTTTTTTCATTAAAGAAGCGTCAATCACCGAACCAATACAATTGTTTTTAAGAGAGCCTCGTCAAAACTATTCAGTTACTTTTCGCTCAGCATAGGAAAGGCTCAAACAACTCGCGAGGTCCTCACAATGTCGACTTCTGATTCAGAATTGGAGAACAGCGATTTCTTCCTTTTGTCCCACGCCATTCTGGCTATCTTGGTGTCCACACCGGCCGTCGTTACAAACGTCCTTTTACTGGTCACTGTCTTTCGAGATCCGAGCCGAAATCAGCCATTATGGGGGTTGCCCGTAACACTCTTGGTTGTAAACCTGGCCATGTGCGACTTGCTCACAGGCGCTATTCCTGGATATTTCAGTCTTTACTACGATATTGCCATAATAACAGGTCAACCAAAACAAGAACTGTTTGGCCTACAGACGGTAATGATTGTTGCTGCCGTTGTGACAAACATCGTGTCATCTTGCACAATCGCGGCGATGTCTTTGGACCGTTTGTTTGCAGTGTCTTCTCCGCATCAGTACACGGCACGTGTGACCAAAGCCAAAGTTAAAGTTTTCATCGCCGTTGTTTGGACTTATTCTCTTCTTTTCTCAAGTCTTGGTCGGATGGGAGTATCAGTAACTGTGGTTGTTATTCTGTATTGCCATATTCACGTGTCGGTTCCCCTTGTCATTCTGCCTGTGGTATACTGGAAAACATACCGCGCTCTTCGCTTGCACAACAATCAAGTACGAAATTTGGCTGATGGGAGAGAGCAAATCGACTTGGTTCACAGGAGAAGAGAACGCAAAATGGTGTCCGCTTTTCTTTTGGTTCTTATCTCGTTTTACCTAACTTTTGTGCCTCAGTACATTGCACAAAACATTTATCTTCTGTCTCCGTCTTTGGCAGAGACACCCAGGTTCAGGTTTTTTCTTTATGCATCTAACAAATTCGTCTTTTTGAATTGTACGTTGAATCCTTT